CTTAGAGGTACAATGCCCCAGATGCGAGAGGCGATGGGCGACGCACCCAACGCCATAACTAAATATTGCTCAAACCTTTGCGATTTAACAAAGTCTGTACAAAAAAAGAACAACAATATATTTAGTTATTTATCTCTTTATTACAATACATAATAAAGTTTATTATATATATTATGAAATATTTTTTTTGCTAATCTACCTCTTTAATCAGAAAAGTTACTTCACGACGGGTCGCGAAACGTCGCGACCCCGCGACTCCCTCCTTGGCTAGCGACCGTGGCCCGCGCGACACCCCCACGCTCTCACGCCCTCCTCACCGAGCGGCTCCTCCCTCCCTCCCTCCACAGCGACAACGGCGGCGGGTTCTGCTGGCAGCGGCGCCGCGTGAGGTAGGCCAGTTCCCTCTCCTCCTGGACCTGAGCTCACCGGAGACGAAGACGACGACGGCGGTGGCTAGGGTTCCGGCGAGGAGGAGGTCGCCGGAGAGGGAGAAGAAGACATCTCCGGCGGGCTATAGAAGGGCCCGGCCGGGGGAGGCAGGCCGGCCATGCGGTGGGTAATGAGGCCCGGCGGTTTAGGGGGCCTTGCAGTGGTAGCGGCGCCCAGGGCAGGGAGGTGTGGGGACGCCATGGCCGGAGCTCGAAGCCTGGCGTCGCCGGCAAGCACGACAATGGTGGAGCTCCGGCAAGATGGGGGGAGGGGAAGATGGCGGCCGCCACGGGCGCTAGGGTTCGCCGGAGCTCCGACGAACCCTAGCGCCCATGGCAGGGCCATGGCCGCCGGCGCCGGCGGCGAGCACGACGAGGAGGATGGGGCGGTGCAGCGGGGGCGGGTTGAGGGCGGCCCGGCCGGCGGCCGGGGGCAGCGGGAAGGAAGGGAAGGCGGGGAGGAAGAGGGAGACGCAGTGTAGCTGTGTTGCGCGTTCCCAGAGCGCGCCATCGGTCGTGGCTTAGCGGTGTCCCTTTCTTAATATGGTACTCCACTCATCTCTACAAGCTTGAAAACCCTTTATATTTTAAGATGGAGAGAATATATCCATCTCCGTTTATCAGAATTTAGAAGTTGTTTGTTACGAACCTATGCAATAGTCTAAATGCAATATCGCTCATTTACACAGTTGTCACTTCACTATCACTACTACACAAAATCTTTTGCAAGGCGTTTCCAAATTGGTCTCCGAGACGGTTGAGCCGGTTGCCCGCCTCGGTTATTCGTGGCCGGGCAGCCGACCCAGCAACCGCCTCAGTAAATCATTAACCGAGGCGAGCATCCTAACACAACCGCCTCGGTAAAACATTAACTGAGGCGGGCATTATAATTCAACCGCCTCGGAAAATCAGGCCCAGCCCACTAGCCCAAGAGGCCCAGTTCCGAACACACATATATATGCCAGACTTTAGGGTTTTCAGCCTCAGCTCCTCACTCCCTCCTCAACCGCACTCCTCTCTCCCTCCGGTCTCCTCCCCAGCCCCGACATGCCCTCTTTCTCTCTCTCGCGTGCGTGAAGTCACGCGCGGAGCCCGGCGCCTGACGCGCTCCCCTCCCCTCCCGGCGGCGGCGGCCTTGCGTGCCCACCCAGCGGCGGCGGCAGGAGCCACGCGCGCGGGCCCGGAGGACGTGGCGGCGGCCCTCGCGCTCGCGCTCCCGGCGGCGGCAGCGCCCCTCTCCTTGGAGCTCCTACGACGTGGATCGAGCTCCTCCGGCGTGGATCTGGCCTTCCCCGGCGTGGATGGAGCTCCTCCGGCGCGGATCTGGCCTTCCCCGGCGCGGATCGACCTTCCCTAGCACAGATCCGGCGAGGGTCGACCACCTACGGATTCCTGCTCCTACGTGCGGCACGATGGGTTAGGAACGGGCTCGCCGGCGGGCTCAGGATTTTTTTTTTGTTTTTTTATCGATTAACCAAGACGAGCGTTGTAAGCAGCCCCAGAACCTACTACTCTCTTTGTCATGTAATGCAATACATTCATAAACTGTAATATACAACTTAATTGAATACTCAAATGACACATATACCATGGGGTAAACCTAATTAAAGAGTTTTCATCAAATTATGGTTTTATTTTTAAACAAAACTTTGCTAAATTTGAGCATAGACACCACATAAAATATTTATATTTTAGTATAAATTTTAGAAGTCATATTACACTATATTTACATGACGAAGGGAGTGAGTAATTGCTAGACTCGTGTAACCTTATATCTGGCAAAATTAGTTTAGCATGATTTGACTACAAACCAAACATCACGTCCTTTTCACAGGTTTGTTTACGACTGTATTAAGCGCTGCAATTGTCTAATTGCGGTATCCACCTCAAAGAATCATTTGTAAACTCCTTTCTTCTTTGTCCTTTTGCAGACTACTTCGCCGGGGAAAAAAATACTAGATTTTCAACGAGCTGAACATGCTCGAACCATAACTTGTAGAAAACAGATTCCACGTGTCATGCTCAACTTAAGTTAGCCGACGAAATCGGCGGCCGGTGGCACTGGAGACAAAAGAATGGGCACAGATGACATGGAATCATCCCAGACGCTCTTGCAGTAGTTGGACTTGGACACTTGGACACTTGGAGAGCTCTTTAAACCACCATGGAGTCGCCTCGGAATTCGGTCCCCGATGACGTGCTCGTTTTCATGTAGGAGCACGTAAACAAAAACCTTCAAAATCATCCTGAAGTCTTTCCATGTATACGTACGAGCCCGTTGAGAGCCGATTCCGGACTAGTATGTTCATGCACGAAACCTGAGCAGGTCAATTTGGCATCACTGCAACCGAGAGCAGGTATGGATACGATCATACGACTGGATTTCATGCTGACTGTTTCGAGCTGTTAAATGGCCTACGCCACCAGACTCCTGGGTTCAGACAGGCACAAAAATATTCACCACCGTTCCGTTCCGTTGCAGTAACTGAGCTGCAACCATGCACACGCCTGTTTGGATCTTCTTCGTCGTCGTCCAGGCTACGAATTCGTATGCCATGTCACAACCACAAGTCCACAACACACAGCAGCATCAGCATGGTCGCCTAAGGACAACTAGCTGACTGTTAGTGCACGTAAACATGGTGGTGGTCAAGCTCGCTCGCTCGCTCGTATTGACCACAGCGCGTGCCGTGCCTCCGATGACGCCACGGGATGCGACCCTGTCGCCGTTGCAGTGACAAGGACGGGTGCTGCTGCTGGAAGAAACAGAGCCCTGCGTTGCTCTGCTTCGTACATGTAACGTGTACGTCGAGGGATGGGAGAGAGAGAGAGCCAGAGAGGGAGCCGGGACCACTCGCCAGTCGGAATCGGAACGGAACAGCTCGAGATCGATAATGAGATGTGTTTATGGATAGTAGTACTCAGACTATCAGAGTACAGTTGTCCTCCATTAAACTGTGGCCAGTACATACACTGCATCTGATCTGACTGTGCGGCCCTGCATATGCCCTTGATTGTCTGTCCCTGGTAGGCCACGGGGGTTGGGGATCTGATTTCTTTACTCGCATCGCAGATCGGATGATCCGGAGGAGTATCTTATAGGAATCCATAAACAAACAAAAAGAGATGATTACTGGAGGCTCAGGAGTATACAACAGAGATGATTACTGGAGGCTCAGGAGTATACTACTGCATTGTCAAATGTAGCCGTGCCTATTTTATGCCTGATCATCCATACAGATTACCAGGTGGCCGTTGGAAGGTTCACATGGCCTTCAGATACAAATAGCATGTGTGCGTCATACATGTGGTGCACAGCTGCTCTGTGCTCTGGTAGGATTGTGTTCTGCGCTCTCGTGCTGTTTTGGGATGTTTTCCATAATACTAAGCACAAGGCATTGCCGATAGACTGCACGTCAAGACTCAAGAATGCAAAGGCAAACGAGAGGTGTATCCGAAACTCAGGCAAAGACGGTGACGGGGCAACAAGCATCGCAGTGTCGGAGCGGACGACAGACCCAACCTACCCACGCACGGTCAGCTAGTTCGCGACCTGCTGCTTGCTGAGGATCCGAAACAAACAGTACCCCCGTCTGATAACTATCCGAAATGAAACCGGACCTAACAATCCGAAATGATTCATCACGCTTCGGGGCGGAAGCAAACCCCACCACAGTTCATCGAAGGTATGGAGTCGCGCGCAGAGCAGGCTGTCATGGCGATGGCGATGGCGGCAATGATTCGCGCGAAACCGATCTCGATCCTACCGTGCGGCCCCCACCCCCCCCCGCAAAGACGACGAGACTCATGGACGACGCGCAGCGTTAACCTCGCGAGATGCGGCGCCTCGCTCGCTCGGTGGCATGTCCTGTCCCGATCGCACGAGCCCGTGCGGGCGCGGCTCCCCAGCCTGGCAGGGCAGCCTCGCTCCCCGTCTCGATGCGACGCAGCGCGGTGCACCCCGTCCGCGGCACGCCCCGCGCGTCCCCAGGAGGCCAGGACGGATGGTGCGCGGCGTTGGGTTGGGTTGGGTGGGCCTGGACTCTGGGACGTCTGCTGCGGGTGCCGCGACGCCGACGTGCGTGGCCATGACGGCAATGGCGATGGCGGGCGTGCGCTGTGCGCGAGGTGGGCCGGCGCGCCGAGCGGGGGCGCGGGGCCCCAGGCACCGCCGACTGGGTGCACGTGTCCCAGCCACACATGGCGGGCGCCACTCTCCCATTCCCAGGCCCAGGCCGCTGCAGGGCTGTCTTGGCAAGCTTCCCATCCTCCAAGCAAAAAACAATATCCAACGTGCCCACTCCGCCAGTCAGCCAGCCACTGCACCATACACTCCGCTCCTCATGGTCATGGCAGAGCAAGATCAGCAGCCAACCCACCCGTGCGGGCTCCTACCAAATCATGCGCGACACCCCCTATATAAACACACCCTTCCAAGTTGCCTGCCATTTCCATACTCCACCACCACCGAGGCGGCAAGTCAAACACCAAGCGACGCGGGGAGCTTCCGCACCAAGCCGGACAATCCAACAAACTACACCGTCCGCTCCACAACAAGAAGAAGAACAGCAAATGGCAGTGGGGTTCCGCCGGCGGCTCACGGCGCTCACGGTCCCGAAGGCCTCGTCGCTACTCCGCCGCACGCGGCACGAGAAGCTGTCCTACTCCCGCGTCCGCTGCAACAGCCTGCCGGGGCGCTTCCACCCGGTAGTGGCGGGCCTGCACGAGTCGGCGAACGCGCTCATCGTCTGGACCGAGGAGCCGGCGCAGGCCTTCAGCCCGGCGTGGGTCGCCGACGGGGCGGCGCGTCTGGGCCGCCTCCTGTCCGGGCTGACGGACCTGCTCCACCACCCGCAGGCGCGGGACCCGCTCCGCCACCACCACCACCAGGGGGGCAACAGCAAGCCGGCGGCGCCGTGGGCCGAGCGCCTGCTGGACGACCTGCTCCTCCTGGCCGACGCGCACGGGTGCGTCCGCGAGGCGCTCCTGGCGCGGCGCCAGCTCCTCGCCGAGGCGCACGCCGCGCTGCGCCGCCACGACGCCGCCCGCCTGGCCGCGGCGCTCCGCGCACGGCGACGCGCCGACCGCGACCTCTCCCGCCTCGCCTCCACGCTGCGCCGCCTCTCCCACCGCTCCTCGTCCGCCTCCACCGCGGTAGCGGCGGCGGTGGAGCACGGCGGCGAGGCCGCGGTGGCCGACGCCGTCGCGGCCGCCACGTGCGCCGCGGCGGCCGCGTCGGCAGCCATCTTCGCCGGGCTCGCGTCCGCTTCCGCCTCGTCATCGGCCTCCCGCGCGATGCCGTCCCCGCTGGCGTCGGTGGTCTCGCCCGCAAAGGTGGCCGCCGCGCCGGTGTGGTGGGTCGCCGACCTCCTTAGGTGGCGCCGCCGCACGGTGGCCGTCGTCGCTGCCAGCGAGTCCTCCGGGCCCGGTGCGGAAGAGCAGGTGCCTCTCGAGGCAGAGTGCTGCAGCGAGGAGGAGGAGGAGAGGCAGGCGGCCATGGAACGCCTGCGGAGGCTGGAGGACTGCGTCGTGGCCGCGGAGAACGGCTGCGAGCAGGTGTACCGGGTGCTCGTTAACGCGAGGGTGGCGCTGCTCAACGTGCTCACGCCGTGCTTTTGATGCTAACGCACAGGGAGGTTCAGTCGAGTGATGCTAGCGTTGCCGTTTCTGTAGATCGTGTACAAAAGTGTACATGATGTATAGCAATCGTTCCGGGATGGAACGGAAAATGTAATTAGGTGAAATGCTCAGTAAAATCTTGCTCTTAATTGCAACCACATTCTCTTCAAAAAAAGGCACTCGATGAATGAAGCAGATCACTCTATGGCTCTGTTTCAGAACTGAAAATACACCGTTTCAAACAGGCTGCTCTGTTTCCTTTCCTCAAGAAGTCCATGTAGAATCCAGACTCTATAAAACTTGGTTACGAATGGCATGGCAATGAGTTAAACATCGCGCGGAGCTCACCGGGTCTTCTGTTAGCTCTTGGGCCACGGTGGACGTAGCAAGTGCACAGTACAATTACAATGTACAAACATGAACATCCTTCTTCGCGAAAAAGAAAAAGCACGAGCAACCTTGAGCGTAAGGTATGGGCCAGATTCGAATAGAGACCATAATGTGCCCATAAAATCTGGCAGTTCGATGCAGCTGTATTTGAATGACAGGTTATCCTGATTCAGATTTCTAGCTTCAGCTCCCGCCGTTCAATGATGCAACGCAGTGCTGGGTTCACGCTGAACTGACGAAGAGTGCCGTTAGAATTACATTGAGCATGTGCATGTGCTCCCTCTTGTTTTTAATATTCACACGCATTTCCAATTCGAAATGAATCTATGTTAAATTGCGTAGGTCGTTTGGCAGGTCTAGCGTCACATGGATTTGTGTTAATAATCGAGTCAATGTGTCACAGTGGAACCAGGCCAACGAACTTCGATTAGCGTTTTTCATGAGCATCAGCAGAACTGCAGAATGAATGTTCAGTAAATTTGCAAGATGCAGTAGAGATTCAGAAGTTCCAGCACTGAGTTCATCCTGCTGCTAAATTACCTGCAACCATCGCTTACTGCTTACAATCATCAGGAGGATCGTGACAAACCGGTAGGACGGACTTGTTTGCAGTTCTCGAGCAAGATTAATTGCTAAGCAAGAAAAGCTGCAGATTTAGTAAGACAGGATAGGATAGGATGGAGCTTCCCTTTCTAACAATGAACCGGTACAGTGTACATGTCAGTTTGCACGCTCGCCAAGTCGCGATCACAATCCAAAAGCAGCTCATCATAGATCTAGCTGGAAGGTTGCAATCGAGGGCAGATTGAGCAAATGATTTCTGAAATGATATTGATCGGCGTCGGCTTTATTTGTCAAAAAAGCCCGAAACAAGTTGGTTAGTGTCACTACATTGTCAGCTATAGCAAATGCTGGGCACCGTTTGCATGATTAGGTCTTCACTACGCATTAAGGCACTGGTGATTGAGGCCAAACGGACATGTTAACAAATCGATTGTTGATTGAAGAAGTAGCGTAGCCGAGAAATGTACGGGGATCGCTTCCTGCGGTCCTCTTGTAGCCTGTTCGTTCCTTGTGTTGATACTACTTTGTTAAGCCCAGCCCAAGTGAGTTGGGCCTAGAGCCCCCATCTAAGACAAACAACGGGGCCTGTCGTCACGGGCCAGATGCACCGAAAAGAGACTCTCCTCGCGGTCGCGGCTCAGCGTGCCTCGAGAGATAATTGCTATAATTTTAACCCTTTTTAATTTTTACCCTTTTTAATATAATTTTAAATCTAACACTGTCGGTTTTTTAAACTAACACTTTTGGCGCGCGCTATTGCCTGGCGGCGCCAAATGCTATCTTCGCGCCATGCATGGCGCCGGCGCAGAGGCTCGACGTGGTGGCGACCATCCCCGGCCGACCGGTGGCGTGGCAAAGGCTCTGCCGGCGCCACGATGTTGCCGCCAAGATCGGTGGTACGGCAGAGCCGGTATAACCACCACCGCATGACCTCTTGCCCGAAAGCGATCGGCGTTCAATGAGAACGCAGGTGAAAGGTTGGCCGCCGCCTTTGCTTTGCCGAGACGCGTCGTCGCCGCGGGCGCAGATCCTCCCACGCCACCAATTTACCACGCCAAAGAATCGGCCGCGTTTGGCAAGTAAAGAGCGAGCCGCGCCGACCGGCGACCAGCAAGCCGGCCGGCGGCAAACCATCCGCACCAAGACGCGCAGCGCGCTCCCCCTCCGATCACCTTGCGGCGGCACGCCGCTTAAACTGCGCCAGCGCCTCTCGGTCGGTCTTCTTGTTGCTGCAATGAGGTACTCCACTAATATAGTTAGCACAGTTAATAAAGTTAGTAAAATTATCAAAGTATAGTTAGTAAAGTTAGTTAGTTGAGTTAGTATACGTAATATAATTAGTTAGTATAGGCAGTAAAGTAAGATAGTTTAGTTAGTATAGTTATTTATTGTAGTTGTACATTGGATTTAGTCTAATAAGTTATTGTAGTTAGCCTTGTATAGATGTTAATATTTGATTAGTTAGTATAGTTATAGTTAGAAAATATAATAATGTTAGTATGGATATTACGTACGATGATTTCGACGACTTGATAAAGTTTCTTGAAATGCTTTTGCAGATGGATTGTTGTGTTAGAGTTTTGTTCGGAGGAAATGTTAGGAGAGAAGATGGTATGTTTGAAGATATGGAAGAAGAATTGGAATGGTTTGATGAGCCTCCTAGCTTCAACAACCTTTGTGTCCGTTTAAATACAAAGTTTGGGGGTGATTTCACACTGAAGGGGAGGTTTGATACTGGAAAGACTAGGGCACACTATGTCCTCATGCCCTTGCGCGACCCTGCTCATTGGTCCCGCTACACTTGGGTTCTCCAAAGTTCCAATGTGCCCATGGCTGAGGTGGTCGTGGAGAATTGGTACATGATGCATGGTGTGCAGGACGGCCCGTCCATTGATGGTTTTGGAGGCAATGAACAAGAATTAGGTGTCGAAGGGAAAGCAACGTAGGATAACATAGATTTGGACGGTCAGTTGACGCAGGAGCAGTTTCATTCAACTGCAGTAGGCTGTATAAGCAATAACTTCGATGTGAATGAGTTCGAACGAGAAGAGGAGGAGCAGGAGGAGGAGGACAGGATTGGTGATGTAGTTAGCAGTGATTCAGACGATTCTGATGATGACCAAGGAGGTACAGATGCTGTGGCAACACCGGCTGATGCCATGCCAGTACCGGTTCATACTATGCCATTACCAATACCAACTGAGGTTTTGCATGGTGTCCATGTTCAGGGTAGACTAGTCACGGATTTGGCTGCAGATGATAACCCCTATGATTCATGGGCCAGAAGTAGCGAAGCGCAGTAGTATGTTCCACCACCACCTTACACAGCGACTAAGCTTGAGCAACTAAGGTCCAAGAACGTACCTTTCAGGGGCGTTCCGAACTATAGGGATGTCAGCATGACGGATATGACAGTTTGTGATACCGGTCTCCAGCTGTGTAGGAATTCATTGTATAACCATGAGAAAGAACCCCTTAGGAAGGGGATAATATTCAACACAATGTCAGAGATGAAACTCTTCCTTCGGGACTATGCTGTGTACCACCATAGATCGTACACCGTCACTCATTCGGACCAGGAGTTGAGGTACCACTTGATATGCAAAAATGGTTGCCTGTGCAGGTTAAATGCACGAAGGAGACAGTGATGGCAATTGGAGGATAACAAAAGTTGTTAAACCCCACACTTGCCTAGACAATAGGGGGAAGGAAAATCATCAGCAGCTCACTGCACGTTACCTTGCCCGTCGTATATTGGGCTTGTTGATGACAATAACGACATCTCGGTGTTTTCTTTACTACAGTCCTTATCTAGATTCGTTTGGTTTGATGTGTCGTACGAAAAGGCTTGGCGAGCTAAACAAATTGCTCTGGTGATCGATGGGGTACTTGGGAGGAAGCGTGCAACAGGGTGCCCCGCATCTTATGTGCAATGCATTATTACAACCCTGGCTTGAAATGGTTTGTGGACACCAGAGGGATGTATTTTTGGGACCCATTGAGGCATGTCCTCTATCATGTGTTCTGGTCGTTCGCGCAAACAGAACATGCATTCTAGTTTTGTCGGTCAGTCGTACTTGTTGATGGCACTTTTCTGACAGGAAAGTACAGGGGCACCTTGATGATGGCTACTGCTGTTGATCCTAAAGACCAGATAGTACCCGTGGCTTTTGCTTTGGCAGAGGGAGAGAACAATGAATCGTGGTCATGGTTCATGTGGCTTCTACATGTGCAAATGCTTGGCTCAACTCGCACTATATGTTTGATCTTCGACCGTCACGCAGGGCTTCTTAATGCTGTAGCTGAGCATATAGATGGGTTCCCGCCTCTAGTACATAGATGGTGCATTAGACACTTTGCCGCAAATTTCTAGCGGCGTCAGCGGAAGAAGGAGGTATGTGACAAAGTAAAGGCTCTATGTTGTGTACGTACAGAGCATGAGTTTAAGGAGAAAAAGAGAGAACTAGACAAGATAGTAAATGCAGTGAGAAAGGCCTGGCTAGAGGTGCAGATGGAACAGAAGGCTCAGTGGCTGTTAGCATATGACGAGGGGGGTTTCAGGTATGGCATCATGACTACTAACTCCTTGGAGTCCTTCAATCATGTATTCAGCGGAGTTCGATAGTTGCCTGTGTCTGGAATTATTGAGTTCTCGTTTCATAAGTGCAACGAATATTTTATGAAGAGGTGAGAACTTGCACAGAGGAATATAGCTGAGCAGGGGCGTTTTGGAAAGGCCGGAGCTGAACATTTGAAGGAGGCCGAGGAATTAGCCAAACAGCACACTACCGAGCCGTATGGACCCCGTCGCCATATCTTTAGTGTACGGGGCAAGGGTGGCACAAACTTGGGCGGCGAACGTTATAGTGGACGAAACTGTCGAGTTGATCTTGAAAGGTAGAGTGCAGTTGCAACATCCCTCAGATCATGCATGCCCTTGCTCTCATATGATCACGGCCTGCAGGGTTCGCGGGTACAGCTATGAGGATCTACCATATATGTCACCCTTGTATCTCCGTTTGAACACCGTTAGTATTTGGGAGATG